ATAAATGTAAGAAGGCCACTGAAGAGGGAGCTTCATCTCTCATTATCGTCCTTTATTTCCTGTTGAGGGCCGACACGGCACCAGAGTTTCAAACACAGCTGTCACGGTTTGACATAGGATATTTCAAGACCAGAAACGTATTTGACTGTGGAAAAATAAGCTTACTTATCCAGTTACAAGACAGGCAAAAATGAGCTAAACTGGCCTATTCTTACCTGCCCTGCACCTAACAGCTTTGGTCTAGAGAACTTCAGCTTGCATCCAGCAGTTCCTTGTGTCCACCTCTCCCAGCCAGCCCCCCTGCAAACCCAGGAGGCTCCTCACAAGTGACATTGCCGGCTGTGTTGTCCACTGCAGTCACATTTAGGCACTGGACTCAGGAGAGAGCCCCACGGTGTGACTGCACTGGCCCAGAGACAGACTGGGACTGCAGCGGCCACCTCTCGGGGGATGAGTGTGCGGAGAGGCCTTGCAGGAGTTTCTGGGCCAGTCACAAACACCCGTGTACTGTATGGTGCCGTTTACCTGAAATGCGCAGAATAGCAGCACCATAGAGACAGAGTAGGGGGAGGAATGGGTGGCTCCTAGGGTGGAGGTAAGGGGGGAATGGGAATGACTATAAGTGGGTACAGAGTTTCTCTGTGGCGTGAAAAGGTTCGGGGAGTGATAGCGGCACTGCCTGCATGGCTCGGGCGTGCAGTGAGAACAGCTGGAAGGCACACTTCAGGTAGGTGACTGGTGTGCTGTGAGCTGTGTCACAGTGAACCTGGGGAGGAAAAGAGAGCATTTGGAGTTTGAAATTAGTTTGTAGTCAGCAAGACGCTTTTGTCACCCATCGGGGATTTTGGCTGATTTTGTTCTTAGGGCAAGTTTTGACGATAACTATTTCCACTTAGAACAAGTGAACTTCAGAAATCGTGTAGTTTATAATATGAAACTGTCAAAGGCATAGGGGAAAGAAAGAGTAGCCAGTGAGCAAGTCGTAGTTTTTTGCAGTTTGTTTACATTCATTATTAACATTTTTACTCCTTAAATGAACAGTAAGTCATCCGTTTCCTAAATCTCTGGACTGATGTAGTAACTAACACTGATAGATACCCGGAACAGCAAGTGGGAAACTGGGAGCCCGTTCAGTCCAGCCATCTCTGTCTCAAGATAGGTAACGGAGGAAGGGGCGTGGGGAGAGGGCCTTTCGGGGAGCTGTCACTTGTTGCTCCTGTGTTTTCTGTTCTGCCCCCCCCCCCGGCCATTCCTCTGTTCCTGTTCGTTTGAGCCAGTGCTGGGCAGTGGGCAGAGGCTGAGGATAGAAGGGAAACCTTGTGGGCTGGGTATTCATTCGCAAGTTGAAACTTCTTTGCAAAGTGTTTTACATTCTCTTTTCAAAGTGTAAGTTGTTATTATTCAGGGTTATAGGGAAGAACCTGCTGTCTCTTCTGAACTGGTAGGTTCACCTCGTTACGGAACACGGGCCTCTCTGAGCTTTGTCCATGCACTTCTCTAAGCTTTGGTCCTAGTGAGCGAGACCTCTCCCGGCCCCCCTGTACATTTCTTCAGGGAATTTTGTCTTGCAGGTTTCTCCTAAAGACAGGGAGGTAAGGGTAAAGGTTCCTGAAAGTGAGCATTTTACTGTGGAAATTGAAATTATCTTGAAGGTGACCAAAGTAGCCCTGCAGATATTCTTTACACTTTGGTCGGATTTGATTGAGCTGGATCTCTGGCGTGGCTTCTTAGATCCAGTGATGAAGATGACAAAGAATTTTTAAAATGATGCCATCTGTTAGGTTTCTTCCATGCAGTCTTAACTTGCCCGTTTCATTTTCAATTCTTTTTCCCTATTCTTTGCGTGGTTCTTAGCTTAGGAAAGTAACCTGGGAGTCAGCTTCCCAGTGTAGAGGATTAGTTGTTCCAGCTTTGGCATTCTGTGCCAAGGACACCCATGTAGTTTCTAGCAGAGAAACACAGGGTGGGCCAGTTTTGGAAAGATAGAGACCAGAGCGGGAGGAGGAAGAGGAAGGCCTTCCACAGTCCTCTGACTAGGGAACTAACTAGAACAGCCATGATGAAAAGTGCCGCACGGCCAGCGGTGCAAAGGATGGTCAGGGTTGGCATCGTTGCCACAACCTGGGCACTGTAGGACACACCAAGCACAGGCCTCTGTCAGCCCTGTATTTCCCCTGCGTGAATTGTAATGCTCGCCCGGGGTGCAGTGCACGTAGTTGTCCCGTTCTCCAGCCCGTCCCGGGACACACACGTGACCCCACCCCTGCCTGGAGAGAAGACCACTCCTGCGTCTTTCAGTCACAGGCAAGCAAAGCCCAGCACTAGAGTGAGCCAGGCGGCTATGGCCACAGGTTGATAGAAGTGTAAGTGGGGCTCTGGCTCCATTAAGGCCGTGGGTCTTCACTGATGATATGTTCTATTGCTTTACGGGGCAAAACTGAAAACATAAAGACAGGTTTGGCTCTGTGCCAGCTGACTCACTCTGGATTGGTCTTAGGTTTGTCACCACAGAAGAGTCAGTATCAATGCCCCCAGACCGTAGAGCCCAGGCCCCGTCCACCACTCCAGTTGGATACATTAAAGAACAGACAGAGAAGTCCCTTCTGCTCTCTGGCTGTTTTCTTATCTGCTGGTTGAGTGGGTTGGCATGATCTCCAGTTACCTCCGTTCTGGTGACCTTTGATTATGAGGTTTATTTACACCTAGAGGGACCCTTCGGGACACACCAAGAGTCACCGCCAGGCCATGTTTCCCCACAAGCCTTCTCCTGGCCTGCCCCCTTGTCCAAGCATCCTGTATTTTCCTTGGCGACAGAACACAGCACCCTGAGGAGTTTCGTGCTCAGCTTCCCTAGTTGGCCCGCCATCGGCCAGCACCGCAAGGACTTTGAACACAGGACCCTCCTTCCCTCGGCTCACGTGCTCGAACCTGCTGCAGTTGTACCGAATCTGTCTGCAGTCTGAAGTGTTGTTTTCATGTGGCTCAGAACCAGTGTCATCTCCTCTTCCACCTTGGCCAGGCGTCCTGAACCATCACAATCCCTGGCCGAGGTGGTGGTGCCAGCTTCCCAAAGACAGTGTACCGAGTCACCTAGGTACGTGCCTCCACCGGCTCCTGGAGCAGCGAGCCCTGTCTTGGAGTAAATGCACATTGAGGGTTAGGAAATCTAAACTAGAGATCTGAGTCGCCTGCCCTCTCTCCTGCATTTATTTTCCATCACTTGCAGACCAGAAACTGAGGCTCAGAGGGGCTGAATAACAAACACGCTGTGAGCCAATGCCAGACCGAGGCCCCAGCCATTGTACTGCCCTGCCTTTAAACACTATTTTACCTTAGTTCCAAGGCTACGGAAAGCATATGATTACGATGTTCCATAATGGCAAAATTCGGTCCTGATTTGCTCAGTTAACCCTTTTTTGGTTTCCTTAAGGGAAGCTTAGGGAGCGTTAGACGTATTGCTTCACTCCGCTGGACACCATTTTTGTCTTTACCTGGGAAGTACGCTTGAATTTTCCTTTCTTACAGGAATGTGGTGCATAAATATGAAACCATGGGTTGGATTTTCCCAAGCCTTAGAATCAAAGAATTAGGTACTTTGTATAAATTTGCATTAACTCTTCCTGTCCTGTACCTGTCTATTAAATACAGTTTTTATTAATTTGATTGATATATTATGTTCATTGTGATATGAAAGGTGCATTCTAAACTTTGACAAACTGTTTCCAACTTTACTGTTTGAAACCCAGAAGTCTTAAAATGGTTTTTTTCACTTACTAGAAGTAGAAATCATGGGTTAAGACTACCTATGTATCAGTGCTGAAAAAGTCAGTTGAGAAAGAATCAAGATTAAAATTTTTAAGATTTTATATGCTGGGATTAGGATATGGCCAGTGCCCTAACATAAAGTTGATAAGAAATGATTGCACAACATCTTTGAAACCGAAGGAAAAGGCGGGGAATTGGGGAGGTGGTACCTGAGCCCGGAAGTTCTTACGTTCCTGATTATGAGTTTCTAGCCTTTATAAGCCCATCTACTTCCTTGACCGTAGTGGGTATTGTTAAACATTTCCTTAATTAATACAGTGAATGCCACAGACTGTTAGTTTCCCCTTTTAATGAAACCAGAGTTGGAGAGGACAGAGTGCATCGATATAACACGGGGCGCACTGCACTCCGCACCGTGAGACGGGTGGGACACAGGAGCACCCCAGCGCCGCAGACCCTGGGCCTAGTGTGGCCCCCGCTGCCAGGACAGAATCTGAGGGTAGCATGACCCATGGGCCAGCAGCTGCCTGACGAGCCTGAGAAGCCCTGACTGCAGGTCTTGCCCACATTCTACCCCCTTAGCTCCTTGGAGAACTTTGCTTCCCTGTCTGAAACGCCCAAGGAACCGGTCTTGGAGCTGGCTCTGCCACAGGTCCATCCTTGGCTGCAGAGAGGAACCCCTCACTGATCAGCATCCAGGGCGATTTTACACCCCGTCAGCTTTATAGTTTGCTGCTTTGCAGTTTGCGGTCAGCTCTCATAAAGCTCATTGTTCTTGCTTTGGTTTTAACCCAAAGATGATTTGTAGCCTCACAGTTCCTCCAGTTCTTGTTTTACTTACAATAAATATCCTTTTACAAATTAATGTCAGGAGAGGAAAGTGAGACCATTAACAAGAAGCAATAATTGTTTTGTTTTGTTTTTTTGCTAGTATTAAAACCCACAAAAGGTGACATTCAGTTTGATTTTCTTCCTTTTTTTATTGTAAGTAGAAAGTAGTATAAAGAATATTTTTAAAGAAAATAATGTAACCGAGAATTAAACCCTAGCTAGTTAGGCATTTTCATCCTGAAAATCTTTTTCATCATTCTTAATTCATCTAATGAATTTCAGTTGTTTTAAGGATAATTTAACACTGCCAAATCCTGCTGCTTAAAGTCATCGGGAGTGCGTTTTTTTTTTTTTTACCTCAAGTTTTCTAATAAGCTAAGCAAAGCAGCTCTTGTCCTTGGCAGCGTTGGCTGCACTTGGCAGATGCACCTGGCTGCACTCAGTTCTGAGATGTGCCAACTCGGGACGGAGCAACCCCACTGCCGCCAGGGCGCCTCGTGGGTCACTTCCCTCCTCAAGCCCGGGACCTCTGTGAGTTCCTGCACTGCTGCAGTGTGATTCCCCACGGGATTCTCCGTCGCTCCTGCTGGATTTCACCATGGCAGGAAGCTAAAGATAAGGAGACTCGAACCTACGGACAGAAAAGGACCCTTTCGTTGAAAGGCTGTGGGCCAGGGAAGACCACCCGCTTCTCTGAAGGCATCTGCTCTCTGAGCTAGACAGTGTTCAGCCCCTGGAGCCTTTGTGCACTCCCTTTGGAGCGGAGGTTGAAGGGGAAAGCACCTTTGCCTTTGAGGCCCCACACAGTCCAGTGGGGCCAGGGGATGAACTCGCATTCAAGCGCACAGGAAAGCCAGACTCCACGAGGCCAGGAGTTTGCCATTCCCACCAGTCTGATGACCAGTGAGAGTGAGGGGGATGAGGTAAGCAGGGAAGGCTTCCTGGCAACTCTTAGAAAGAGGAGATACAAGCAGAAGAGAGGAGAGAGGCAGACGTCCCTAGCTAGAGTGTCAGGAGCAGGAACCAGACCCTGGCATGAAATGATGCCCAGAGCTGCCCCTGTCCTCCTCCAGGGGTCAGCAGTGCACAGTAGTGGCTGTGAGGCTGGAGGATGGGCCGCACCCGGCCTCTGAGGAGCGTTGTGTCCTAGGCTCCCATCCCCTCCACCGCAGCAGTTTCCTGGTTGAGAACTTGGCTTCTGGCCAGACCCACCGGGTCGGAACTCCAGCTCCTCCCTTACAGCAGCCTCTCTCCATCCCCACCTCCTCGTCTGTCCAGTGATGGTGACAGTGCTGGTGGCCATGGCATGGAAATCCTAATCACAGTGGGGAGAGAAACGGCAGGTTGCCGGCACTGTGCCCAGCACATCAGGGCATGTTCAGTATCTATAAAATTTCCTTTCAGAACTGGAACCTAATCTTATTTAAAAGAGAAATTGGGACTCTTGTCCAACTCTGAAAAGAACAAAGTGAAAAGGTTACTATGCTTATAATTTTAGATATTAACCTACTTTAAGAACATTAGTGACATAATACTTAGCCAAGCTGTTTCCATTTCATTTGAAAGTCTTGCATTTTGAGTTATGATAAATATAAAATGCCAATTACTTAGCCTGTTCCAAACAAACGTTCTCGCTGTGACAACAGATTCTCTGTGAATTGGGAAGCCACACCTTTAATCAGTTCTCTTCCCTCCTCCCTTCACCCGACCCGGGAAGAATTCCCTGACCAGAAGCGCACCCCTTCCCAATGACTCCCAGGCACGCAGTGGGGCCCGTTTCCACACGTCCTACGACAAGAGGTACGTCATCAAGACCATCACCAGCGAGGACGTGGCTGAAATGCACAACATCCTGAAGAAGTACCACCAGGTAATTTTTTGTTATCTTTGAGTATCTGAGAAGGTTAACATTCATGCCTAATTGTCAGCAAGGCCAAAGGTCTAAATGCAGACCATAGGAAATGGCAAGAACACACAATTTGACATAAAATTCCTCCTCGAGCCCATGCTCTGAAATGGCTGTGGCCGGATACTGAGAGGTACCTTTGGGAGTACAGTACTTATGCTGTAAAGGACATTTGTTAATAATTCTTTCCATTTAAGCACACTTCTGCATGATAGTTTCAGTGAAAGAGTCACACAGTTTAAGACTTGGCAGCTTGCTAAAGATTCTGCCTGTGCCAGAAATGAGGTGTTGGCCTGTGAATCTTTATGCTTGGGTACCCTCGAGTCCCACCCTGCTCTCTCTGGCGCCAGAAAAGCCCAGTCTTGATCCCATTTCTCTTGGGGAGAAAATTGTCTGACTTTAGAAGGTATGTCACTCTACTTCTTGTATCGTTTTATCCCTAACCATTATTCCTTTCTAGTGGCCCAGGAATACAATGAACTGCCCTCAGGAGCAGGAGTCTCTCACGGGATCAATTCCAACATAGGTTTGCGTAGTGGATCACACGTGCACAGGTCCCAGCCCAATCTCTAAGAGGCTTCAGTCACTGTGGAAAAGGAAGAGCACCGAGTGCAGAAGCAGAGTCTTCAGTTCAAATCTGAGCCCCGTCCCTTAGTAATCATGTGACTTCTGGTCTTCGCGACTTCAGTTTCTTCATTTATATAATGAGGATATTAATACCTAGTTGTGGAGACCTGAAAATCAAATGGGAATGTGTTTGTCATAGTTAGCACAGTTTCTGTCACACACTAGGAGCTAAATATATGGTAAAGGTGGCAGCATCATTATCAAGGTAATGTCTATCAAGTGACAGTCACTAATAATGGTAAGTCATCTAGAGAAATTGCAGTCTTGGGGCATGAATGTAACTGTGTTGCTGCAACATGACAGGATCATCCTCAGAACTGGGATTGAAACACACATTGTTACTTTTAGAGTCGTAATCTTCTTGAGCTGTCATAACCAAACAACATAGACTATGTTGGTTAGACCACAAAAATTTACTTCTTACAGTGCTGGATGCTGGAAATTTGAGATCGGGGTGCCAGCATGGCTGGGTTCTGGTGCGGCTCCCTCCCAGGCCTACAGATGGCTGCCTTCTTGCTGGGCCCTCATGTGGGGGAGAGAGAGGAAGCAAAAGCTCTCACTACCTCTTCTAAGGGCACTAATCCCATCACAAGGTCTCCATCCTCATGGCCTGTTTACCTCCCAAAGGTGATTAGGCTTTCAACATAATGACTTTTGAGAGAGATAAATATTCAGTCCACAGCAGAGTTACCTAAGCAAGCTCCAGACTCCCCTCAGAAGTAAAGATTGACTATCACAGAAAGTATTCAGAATGAAGTCTTGACCACATTAATGAGAGGATTCCCAGCAGATTTTAAAACAGTCTCATTTATGTATTAAGTATCAGCCTCAGAGTGTCCAACTTTGAAGGCAGTGCTCGTGTGGTTCCGTGAGCCCTGAGACTTCTGTTTAAATGCATTACTTTCGGTCATGCTTTATGCTGTAATACCACTGATTATTTCTTGGCAGTTGCTATTCTTCCTGTCTTCACAAATGCAATCAATTAGTTCCATTTTCCTGGCACTGAAGTCTGTGAAAACCTTTGAGCTCCATTCCGCTTGTGGAAACTTGGTGCTGCCTCTCATTTCTTTTCTGTACTGGAAATCAAACTCAGGACCTTGCACTTGCCAGGCAGGCACAGCACCACTGAGCTACATCCTGGCCTGCATTTGTTTTCTAAAAGTATTAGTCAGACTCCATATTCATTTAACATTTAATCAATCCTTTATAGCATCTACTGCTTTTGAAGTTTGTTTGCCCATGCAAATGCTGTTGCCGATTCCAAAGGACATTTTAACATGCTCAGATAGTACCTGTGAGTGGGAAGACAGTAAGGCATTGGCTTCTGAATGAATTGAATTTCAAGTTGCAGCTTTTAACTCTTCACCTTTTCAATTTTCCTTTTCATGCTTTCCCTTGCAGAATCTGATGTCATACTCATGCATTCTTTTAATGCTTCCTTTCACTTATCTGAGAACATTCAAAGCAAAGTGATATCTCATGACCCATGAGAACATATTATTGTGATAAATGGCTACGATACCAGTCTAATAAAATCTGACATGCAATTCAGGTATCACATTCTTGACAACCTTGAGTACATAATCCTTTGACTATAGTAATCACAGATTGAAATATTTTCTCTGGGGCAGTTACTGTGACCTAAGATACTGATTGGACATGTCCCCAACATTGCATAGGATACATTGGAGATCAGAATGTTCTATTAAAACACTGCAGGAGCTTTAAAATGCTAAAGAGTTCCTTTTGCTCCACTATTACAAAATTGTTATTTTTTTGGTATATACTTTATTCAGACAACTCACATTTAGCCAACATCATACTTTTCTTCCAAGAAACAGTATTTTAAGAATTATAATTTAAAGTGTCACAATGATTAATTAATACAGTTTACTATCAGGAGACAGAGCCTAGCCCAGTATGGGTGAACCTTTTAGAGCTTTCAGTGATTATAAACAGCCAGCTGCGGCACGCATGCCGTAGGTTCATCACTGCTGCCCTAGTTTATGAGCTGGCTGCTTAGGCAACCCCTGAACTCAGTTTGCCCAGCTGTACTGCATTCACTCACTCATTTATCCGAGTATTAACTCTTGTCCTTGTTCTAGAAAGGATTTAAGGTAGCCTTCAAGGAAATTTGAAATAGATAAATACAAATGTTTTAGAAAGGAAGATGGAAAAGGAAGGACAGGGTAAAGGCACAGATTGGAGCCTGACAGGAGCCTAAAACTGCATGATGAATCTTAGCATGACTGCTACTTTGAGGGTTGCCAATCCAATTTAACCTGGCTTCCTGGCAGGCAGAGTAGAAAGGACAACATGAAGTCAGTTGCACAGCTCCTGTGCCTGAAGATACATCAAATCTGAGGGAAAAATAGAACTGTTCTTGATGCAAGATCTGACAGAGTTGTCTTTAAGAAGTTCCCTACAAAGCAGACACAGGACATCCAACCTTATGTACAGCATCTTTACAACAAGCTGTGGAACCCAGGAGAATGTCGTACAACTTTTTTAAAAATAATCACCAGTAAACCTGCTTGTGGTGGTGCATGCCTGTCGTCCCAGCACTCTGAGAGGCTGAGGTAGGGGAATCGCAACTTCAAACCCAGCCTGGGAAATTGAGCCAGACTCAATCTCAAAAACATTTTTAAGAAAGCCAGGGTGGGGATGTAGCTCAGTGCAAAGTCCTCAGTTTAATCCTCAGTATAAAATAAATCATCGGCACAGGCTGCTGACACCACACTGACTCGTGACTTGCGTTTAGTGGACTCGGTTTTGCTGAGGGAGGAGATGTGCGTGCTGCCACCTGAGCCCCTGCCAGCCTGCCTCCCACTGAACATTCTCAGCAGCCCTTCCCGGGGAACCTCTTCCAGACAGGGTGTTGGTGAATGGCGCACGGTGGAAAATGCAACCTTTATGCCTCATGTGATTCTGTGCACCCAGGCCCAGGCCTCCATCTGTGGTCCTGGGATTCCCCCTCCCCGCTGGACTCTGTCATTTTCTCATGCTGAGATGCACAGTAGCATTTGAGGGACAGCTATTAGGCCTTCATTCCTAAAGTAGGTCTAGACTACTTTTAGGTTTGTGTCTAGACTTATAAATTTTCTGTCTCTTGCTTTCGTGGTGATTGTCAATTCTTCTATTTCTTCTTGCTTCTTGTTGCTCTTACTTTCTAAATAGCTATGTTTCTGAGCTGCCCAAGTCTGGACGAGTAATTAAGCCCATTCAAATTGCATGTCAGTAGGAGGTAGGTTCGCTGAGAGGCGCTCTCCTGCGGACCGAAGGGACTTGCTGACAGCTTTAGGTACTCCAAACCCTCTTCTCCTTTTTTGTTTCCCTTTGTTGTCTTTTGTTTCAATGAAATTCATTCACTGTTGCACCTATATTCTGGAGGGTTAAAATTACCACGAGGCCAACCTCTAGAGACACTTCTTGCTATTTGAATACATTCTTGCTGGGGTTAGTTGTCTGATAAACTACCCTGACCAGCAGTACAGTGTGGTAGGTAGTTCAGAGCAGGGGTTTGAAACCAACCAGCTGCCTTTACATCCCAGCCAAGAACGTGACCTTGGGCGAGTTACCTAGCCACTGGACACCTGCTCTTGGTCTATAACATTTGGGTAAGAGTCCTTCAGCTGTTGTGCTAATTAGGTGAATTTGTATTTATAACATGCTTGGAATGGATCTGGTATTACATGCTGTATACGTGATTAAGATAAATACTATTCTTATTTCAACTTTCTACATCCCATCTTTGGAATCATCCCGTGTGCTGTTCAGTCATTAACTTTTTCACTCCACTAGGGTGCTGGGTTTCTGGCAGAGTGTGTACTGAGGGAGGAGTTAGGGACTTTACCCAGTCCAGGGCTTTGCTGTGTTCTTTGTGTGCCCTTATCCCACCTGACTCCGCTGTGTGCTGAGGAAGGAAAGTATCATTAATCAGAACAATGGAAAAGTCATATTAAGCAAACATTACAAAATTTGTAAATGTCTTTTCCTTCATTTGATTTTTCTCCTTCTTATAGGTAGGAAAATAACTCAGCGTTTTGGCATATCCAGTATCCTTTTCTTCAAATTTGTTAGGCTGTAACACACTCAGGTCTTATAATTATCAGCTGATTAGCTAAAGAACATCAGAAGACATTCAGAAAGGAAAAACATGGTTAAGAGTCTTATTTCTAAGTTGCCTGTTTTTGTTTGGTTTGGTTTCTTTCATTGGCCCCATTCATTGGGGTATCATATAGCTTCAACTTTAATTAAAATTAAAAGGCAAATGTCTCACAGCCTTTCAGCTAAGATTAAGTGTAAAATTAAAGCAGTGTTAGTAAAATTTAAGAAGT